GAAATTCCGCTTGCTGCTGTTAATTCCAGTTACCAAAACAAGGTACATAATTTGTGAAAGGTGTATGACCTTTTTTTTCATTGCTTTATTTGCTTTCTAGAGAAGTAGAGATCTACAACCTGGGCAGTAGCAACAACCAGTCATACTTAATGTCATACTGCCATTTGAGTTGAAGGTTAATATTGTTATCTGTAATGAAAAAACTTTGAGCATATGATGTACTCACCATGGTGTTTCGACTTATCAAAACAAATTCCCATGTCATCAGTTAGTGCCATTTGGAAGGTTGCTAGGAGCTCATCTTTGATATCTGAATTGGAACTCCCCTCCCTGACCCCCCTCCCCTAGGCCACAGTCCATGGGGGAGTATGGCATAACCGTTGGATTAGATGAAGCAGAACTGAGAGTTCACGCATGTAGCAATATACATCTGCGTGGAGAAGCAGGAATTCTTGATGCCAAAACTTAAAACATTAGTTGAAGTAGCGTTTGTCAAAGACTTGTGCACTCTTCACCCTTGGGTATAAATGAGTGGCCAACCAGTGCTGGAGGTATTGACAGTGTGAAGTCCCTATAAACTAAGTAGGCGATTATCCACAGTGTACAAGAATATGACTTAGAGAAGTTGCTTCCCTCTAGATGTTGATGGATGAGTAGGATTCTGAAACTATAGGTTGATTGTCTTGAAAGGACCAAAAACTGTCAAGTTTTTTTTAATGAACCTTAGAGGTTGAAGAGGCAGGACCTAGCATGGGTTCGAAACAACCATCATCTACTGACTCGGAGGATCCTTTAATGGATATTGGAAATTAACAGGAAGGTTCAGCCTTATCTTCTTGATCTCCTTACCGGGTAATATTGGAAGAGTGAGGCATGCAAACAAATTCCATGTTCTCAATATAGAGTGGAGTCCAACGCTTGTCTTTGACTAGTTGGCTACAGTCATGAGGGCATCCAAATTTTCTTGGCAGAAAAAGATTACCCTTGGTCTATTTTCGTGTGACCATTGCAGGTTGCTCTTACACAGTGTATTAAATATCGGCCGATATATCGCTATATCGGCCGATATATCGGTTTTGATGCCCTTTCAACATGATTATTATGAAAAAAATATCGTTTTCGAGTTTTTACCTCTTTTTTCCGATATATCGGAAATATCTGCCGATATTGACTAAAATCCAAATAAAAAAGGTTATTGAGTTTGAGCTTGGTTTTTTTTCCTACCAGACCCAAAAACCTAATAAATTCCCAAACCCAAATACCCTAAATGCTTAGTCAATCTTATACTTCTCCTCCCTCTATGTTTGGCACTGTAGTTCAAAAACACTATGTGATCTCAGGTACGAATCTCTCTCATTTCTCTCCACTCTCTCTTCTTTAGTTCTCCTCTCTCTCAGCTCCTTTTCAGACCTCTCTGTCTCTCTCTCTCTCAACTAAGGTTTTAAATGTCGGCCGACATATCGGTTTGAGGGCTTGACCGACACGACATGGACGTTTTCAACTCGTATGTCGATTTTCAGGGCCAAATCAGAAATATCAGGGTCATATCGGGCATATCGGCCTATTTTTTAGCTTTGAAAAATCGGTCGATATGATACTTGTTTAAGATCTGTTTTTTTGTTATCAGGTTTGGGTTTAGTGATAAATACCCAAACCCGTTTGACCCGTTGTCATGTTTAAGGGTTTCTTATGAACCTTATAAAAAGAATTTATGAACCCAAATCCATATATTATTTACATTTTTATATGTTTAGTCTATAGAATTTATAAAGTATGCTTATATTGAATTTATGAATGCTTAGATTACATTTAGGACATGATATTATACATATGCGCACTACCTGATATGACAATCCGATATTTAGTCAATGTTCCCCGATATATCCCCGATTTCCGTTATCTGACATGAATTTCAGCCATCCGACATGAACCCGACATCCGATGTTTAAAACCTTGCTCTCAACTTCTCTCTCCCTTCTCTCAAAAATATTAGGCGATCTCAAAAACATTAGGCGATCTCAGGTACGAAGTTGTCTTTCTCTGTCTCCTCTTTCTCTCCTATGTTCCTGTACTCTCTCTCTCTCTGACCTCTACCTATATCTAATGTCTCTAAATATTGTATATCATTATTCATGACGTAATTTCTTATGTTTAGAATACATTAAATATATTTTGATTAAATATTACAATATTATGTTACATATGAACATCATCCGATAAGACACCCCGATATTTTTCACATACACCAATATATTTCCAATTTCCGCAATCCGATGTGGATTTTGGCCATCCGATATTTTTGATATTTAATACATTGCTTACACTTAAGTAGACCCAACTGACCTTGCTCCAAACATTTTGGCTATTAACTGCTCTGCGATAAGCTGTGTAAACCTTTGATAAACCCTGAAAGAATTCACATTTTAAAAGCTGTTTGGAACCCATCTGGTGAATACGAACATTAGTCAGATGTTGGACTATGCATGATCTTAGTTTGAACTGCTTGACCTCTGCAGCAATTGTCAAACCCGAAGAAGTAAAGATGTTTGTCACGAGCAGCTTTGCTTGCCTTTATGGAAGTGGGAACCTGCCCTGCATCCAGGGATCTAATGGGGGATGAAAAAAGTCCTCCCTGCCACTGTTAATATTCAATGAAATGGAGGTAGGCGTGAGCACTACAGAGACACAAGCTTGTCACATGAGCCAAATCTACATAAAGTGCACCAGTACTCAAAACTTCAGAAAATATCGACTCCTACGGAAAGATACCTGGCAAATATCATCTGAAAATTTTAGGAGATATAAGTTCAAATACCTGGTTTATAATCTCATGTTTCTCAAAAGACATGTAGATTACAAGAAAAATTAAACGCTTGGATTGAAGATAGTAAAAGTAAAATATACTTGTGATAGTTTTCTTTAAACAAGTCAAATTTCGGCGAGGCATTGATACATAGACATTCAGTATAACTTTCTTTCCCTTTTTTCCAGTATGTTGTATTTTCCTGGACTCATTTAGCTTCTGCTCTATGATTTAACTCCAGAATATGGATTCTTTGTTTTCTTTCTCCAGGGTGTTGCTCATCTCATGTACAAAGAACTGAAAGAAAGACTTCAAAATGTGGGTATTTAAACAATACTTTAGTGAGCAGATAAGGTGACAGAAGGTTTTTGGTTTAAACAGGTAATATGGGACAGCATGATTGATTATTCTTGACATAGTACCATTGTAGTATTTTGGTTGAATATGCTTCCAGAATTTGCAGATTTCACTCTTAAATTCCATGTATGGCAACTACGATAAGCATGCTTGCAATTGTCATTAATGCCACAAATTTTCATTCAACTCATATAGGGAAATGTTTTCTTCTTGACCTCTTCAACCAGCTTAGAAATCACCATGATATAGAAAATTTGCTTGTGAGGAAAGTTATTCATGCGGTCACATCTCCTAGTGTTTTTTGGAATTCTGGCTCTATCAGCATTCTTTGTTACCTTGTTTGCAAAGTTTTCCTAAATTATAAACAACTTCTGGTTTGCAATGCTTAGACAATAAAAATCCTGACACTAAGTTCTGGATTTTCCTCCATTGCATTAAACCCCCAATAACTTTTTGCAGAAAACCCCCACTTTCTTTGCGTAAATTACACTAAATTCCCAATAACTTTCAAAATGCCTTTTTATGTTTTTTTTCTGAATTTGTGGGTGTTATCTGCAAAATGCGGAAACTTATAGTGAGTTTTCATGTGGTTTATTGCGATTTGGGAGTTATTAAGGGTTTACTGTAATCCGTTGAAAGTTTTTGGGATTTAGTGTAATTGACCCTTATTTTAATTCTTCATTCGGTACATTCATTCTTGAAAACAGGAATGCCCCAGTTTAGAAGCTGTTGTAGTATCTGCATACTGGACATTGACACTACTCCCAATAACTAATGCGTAGGATTATATTTTTATAAATTTTTTAAGCTATTGTGTCATTTTGTTATGGTTTTCAGGTTAAATATATTTGCAATGTTCATATTGGTACGCATATTTGCTATTTTATGCACTGTATGGACTGTAAGATGGAATCTATGTTGCATAGGTACGTGTTCGGATATGAGTACGGGTGCGGGTGCGGGTGTGGGTGTGGGTATGGGTATGAGACTCGGCAAATTTATAAAAAATAAGGGCTACCGGGGCAACATTGATATATATAGTATATTATATATATATATATATATATATATATATATATATATATATATATATATATATATATATATAGAAAAATGGGTATGCTTGCGTACCAAGCACAACTTTTGTGCTTGGTACAAAGCATACCCATATTGCTCATATATATATATATATATATATATATATATATATATAATATATTGAGATTAATGGGTATCCTTGTCATAGGAGGGCGATTTCCTCATTGACGCCTCTAAAATCACATGATTGAGCGGCATTGCTGGATGATCCGCTCGTTGAACTTGATCTACATATTCTAAAACCCTAACACACCAAGTTTGGGGTAAACCTGTCGTCGCTTTGACCCTCCATCCACTCGTATCAATTTTTAACGGTTTTGAATTAATAGAACTTTTCACATGCGCTCGATGGAGGGTCAAACGACGACGGCATTCACCCCAAACTTGGTTGTGTGTGGGTTTTACAATATGTAGATCAAGTTCAACGGAGCGCGATCATCCACAATGTCGCTCAATCATGTGATTGTAGAGACATCAAGGAGGAAATCCCCTCCTATGACAAGGATACCCATTAATATATATATATATATATATATATATATATATATATATATATATAATATATATATATATATATACTATTATATATAATTCATTAGATCAGAATTGTTTTTTCATTTACGTGTTACGAGAATCAAAATTTCTTTTAACATTTTCATGTTTCGTTTATTATGTATTATATAATGAGCGGTTTAAATTAAAACATTTATTGTATAATTGAGTACATATCCAAGTTAACGTATGCATATATTCAAGGAGTGTCCAAGGAAAGGTAGCGGTATGGGTACAGTTTCATGATAGAAGCGTCCATGCAAACATAGGATGTAATCATGCTAATATGTCACCTAATTCAACACTAAATAAAGATGCTAAAGTATTTAAATCTAGCATGGCAGGGAAAATCCTTAAGCAGGAAGGAAACATCATATGAAAGGGCAACAATATGTTAGTATGGGCAATTTAGAGTTTCTACCAAACTAGAAGCATAATCTCCTTCAGGCAAACACTGGAACAAGTACTACTGCGTTGACTTCTGCAGTTAATATTTTACAATATAGAGCTCTGCAAAAGCAAAAGTTATCAGTTTATAAGTCTTGCCATCTAGGTATCCTGGTACTTGGCTGAATTTCAGTGTATCAAATGATACACAGTCACCCCATTTCACCATTACCTGGACTCGACATTTCTTAATTTGGTTCATGAACACAGCAATCAAAACAGTGGGATGAATTACACTAAACCCTCAAGGACTTTTAGAATTTCGTAGTAGCCCCCCAATGACTTTCAAGATCACACGAAACCCCCACGATCTTTTAGGAAAACCCCCCAATATCTTTTGAGTAAATTACACTAAACCCCCGATAACATTCAAAATGTCTTTTATGTTGTTTTTTTCTCTAACTTATAGGGGTTATCTGCAAAACACAGAAACACATTGGGATTTTTTTGCGAAATGTAAACGTTATTGGTGCTATTGTGCTACTTTGAAAGTTTTTGGAGGTTTAGAGTAGTTTATCCCAAAACCAAAGCCACTAACACTTCTACTTACCCAAAGGAAACCTGACCTACAGTGTGAATTTACTTATTTGCAAAGCTCTATGCGATTTGATGAAACATAGCATTTTATTATGGAAGTCGTCTAGGACTTTCCACTTCAAAATGGTACTCGGAATTGTCAGTAGGAATTTGTTTTCTATTGCAAGCAGATCGATGTGTCTAACAGAATAATTGCAAAAAATGGGATCGAAGAAACTTTAATACGTATACATGTCGTAAAGCATTAATCCAGTGATTAATTTGAAGTATCGGAAAAAGGAAAAACTCAGGTTATTCAAAAGCTAGAGGGCATAAAGATGCCGGCAAAAACAATATTTTTGGGTTGTGAAGAGGACATGGAAGATGCTATGGTAGCTGCAAAGGAAGGTGTATGGACGTTTAGCAGTGACTGGTTTATGAGCTGTGTTATGAAACACGAGCTTGATATGGAGTCCCCTCAGTTTGCAGAGTCCCTTTAGCTGCAGATTTATGCAGATCATAATGTTTATTGGTGGTTCATGCTCATAATTTTGGATAAATAAGTACGAGTTATCATATTTACTTGTATGTAATAGAAGTGAACGATACGCTGCTTTTTTAAATATAAGATCATTGTTCTCGTGGGATTTTCATGTCTTTGCTTCACTTTTGCGCTGTTATTTTGTCAGGGCTTTTACCAACTATATGAAAATAGAGAGCTTATAGATCAGTGACTTTCACAAATGAGTTTTATATTGAATTGTAAAAGCTAGTTCATATGGAAATCATAAAATTAGCTGAGCCATAACCGTAGTTGTAGCTTTCATTTCGACGTTGAAGATGGAAAGGAAACGTTTAAAAAAAACAAAAGGGGGAAAAAAATTACGTTTCATCGTAAAGTGAGTCAACTCTAGTAATTCAAGGAAAATTCTAGTGCTTAAATTTTCTTGCACTGACAAATGTTCAAACATTCTTGAATTTGTTCATCATGATCAACACATGAGACTATAACATTGATTTTAAATGATTTTTATATGTTTAACTTCTGTAAGAAATGATTCTGGCATATTTCACTTTTATATAACATTTTTTTTTAAAGTTTATTCTAACATATTTTCCTTTCCTATTGTAGTTTCTTTTTAAATGGATCTAATGTATTCCATTACCATAAAACAATTTTGAAACTTATAGCATATTTCACTTATACAACGTTATAGTTTCTAGAAATAGAATTACTTGATTATAGATATTTCTAGACGGTATAGCAGCAATTCCTCGAGCGTAGCTATTTTTAAGGAGAACCTTAGAGATCAGATGTTGAATGTCTATAAATTTTGAAATTCTAGATACAACCAAATTCTCATACCGTCCCTTTGCCAAACTCTTCAAGCTCCTCTTTATTTAATTCTTTTCAACCAGGGGCGAGGCATTGTGGGGCTATTCTAATGAACTGCTCTTGTTCCATAACCACTTCGGTCACGAAGGGGTGTAGACGGCAATGTGACTTTCAGCATTCGTCGAGAACTTCTAGTCTTCCAAGGCCAAAATATGGAGCGAAAGGAGATCATCAGTCAAGCGGATTCTCCGACTCTTAGGACTATCATCACTAATACCAAACTCAGGATGATAGACCGTAAGACTTTGAAGAAGCTGACATTCATATTTGGAGACCCCGTCAAAATCGACACCGAGATTATGTATAACGGGAACTGCAAGATGCTCCGAAAGGTTGGCGACAACTATCAGTTCTTGCCCAACATGGAGCGGATGTATCCCCTGTCGTATTTCTAAAGTGCTTCCATCCCAAGACATATAGATTGGGATCTCGTCAAGGAGCAAGATGGCGTATCTATCGGAGCGCTTACACTCCAGGGTGTCCATCCATTAGGATATGGCCGACAGTTAACATCTCTGAGACCCGACCTGATTCGAAGGGAGTATCCGGTCAGCGAAGCGGCCAACCCAACAAATGTCTTCATTAGAAAATTCATGGCAGTGAAGGGAAAGTTCCATACTCAAGACTTTAGATCTCCTTAAAGGGTATACTCTGCAGAAGGGGGATGGTGGGCTCGGTTGGTAACTTTTGTTTTAGAGGAGTTAAGAGAATCGCGTGCCCATTCTGGTCTTGGAGATTCTGTATTGGCTAGTCGACACGGAGTTATGCAAAGTCATTACAATCTCTTTGCCATGCTGGAGCGGTACAATCTAGAGACTTGTACATTCTTCACACCCGTTTGGGAGCTAGGCTTCGCTCTGCATGAGATGTATAAGGTCTCGGGGCTGCCATTCAGGGAATTATCCTATGAAGAATTCATTCCAAAAGCTAAAGAATTGACCATCCTGAGGACAGCCAGTCCGGCCATTTATGAGACTTTTTGGGAAGTGATATGTCACTTCCATATCTATGCTCAACTGACGGGACTATGTGGAGGTGGCATCAAACAGGTGTCCTAGGCTGAATATTTGTTTCAAAATTTGTATCAAAAGGATTCTCCAGTGACCCGTCTATCTGCGAGTACTCCTGACGACTATCATGGCCTCGTATTTGAAGCCACTACTGCTCACTACATGAACAAG